TATGAGAGTATTCATATCCATATTCGACAAGCGTGGCGTGTGGAGTTGGCGTACGGAGATGGCGTCCTTGGAGTTGGAACGGCAAAAAATGTTGAGTCAAACTGAAGTACGGATATTCAAGTATGATCATGGAAATACCATGGATCTTTCAGGCTTCTCAAATCTTCAGTGTCTCATGTCATAGCCAACAACACAAGGCTGACGCAAGCAATTTCTCAATATCATTACTGTATGGGGTATCTTGAAAGCAACGCCGCAGCCCAACCAGATATGCCCACGGGTCTCATCTTAAGCTCACATACACCTCCAAAACACTCACCTGGCGAATCTGAGTCTCTCGAATCTCCCTCTTTCCATCCTCATCTCCATCCTCCTCCCTCTTAACAACCCTCGTAACACCTTCTTTCGATTTCCGCTTCTTCTTAGCAACAGCCTCATCAGGCTGCTCATTCTCAATTCCAGCGGCAGTAGTTCTATCTGATTCTCCCGATTGGTCCTTCAACTGTTGGCATTCCTCCTCATATCTAACATCATCCACAGCCCCCACACTCCCCGTCTTCAATCTCACAACATACTCCTCCCTCTCCTGAAACCAAACCGCTAGTCCCATAACTTTAGAAATAGCTTTTCCTGTCCCTTTGATCACGACTTCTTCATTCCCATCCTTCTTTTTCTTGAGATGCTCCACTTCCTCAGCAATAGCTTGGATCTCATCGTCCGGACCTCTTCGCCAGTTGTTCTTTGCGGATTGCGTCCCTGCCTGCACGAGTCTCTTGTCGGCGAGCTGGAGTAGCTTCTCGGTCCGTTTTACTGCTGAGAGGAAGGGAGTTTTGCTGCCGACATATATGACTTTTGGTTGCGAAGAGCCGGCGTATGGTGAGGGGATTGAGGGGCGGAGGAGTGGACGTTTGGAAATTGAGGCAGATTTGGGCAATTTGCGCTTCTCTATGCGTCCTGTTGATATTTTGTTCATCTTGGGCGATGAGGCTGTTTGTTTCCTAAATCTTTTCTGGTCGTGACGTTGATGGAGTCGCGATCGCGATGTGTGGACGCGTTGAGCTTCCAGTTTTGATCAAGCGCCATCAATTTTTGACGCGAACTGTTCAATGTGGAGCTGTCGACGTCTGAACCACTTCCAAGCTACTTGCTCCTTCGAACTCGTCAACCACTCTCGAGTCTCAAGTCTTGTAGAATGTAGCGGACGACATGCAAGATCGAATGTCTCGTCATTGAGCCTGCACTATACCGAGCAGTAAGGCTGGTCTTGCGCAGAGGTGTGTAGTTCCCGCCAAGCGTTTCACAGATCTGATCTCCGAACCCAATCTCGAACCCAATCCCTCCTTCTCTCTTCTCTCCAAACATACAATGATCCTGCGACACCTCCACCTGCCCGGCATAGTAACATACAATCACGCCTCCAAGCTCCAAGACATCATCGTCAAAAAGCTGCTCGCCCACAAAGCAAATCCTCAAACCGTTCACGCTCCCGACCCGACCATAATCACCGCCCAATTCCATCCAGTCTACACTTGCGGACGCCGCGAAGTCGGAACCGTGAGCCCAGAGCAAAAGAAATACTTAGAAGAACCCACCAAATACGGCCAAGCAGAATTCATCGAATCCCTAAGAGGCGGTCAAACAACTTTTCACGGACCAGGACAATTAATTGCATACCCAATCCTCGATCTCAAACGCCACAGTCTGACCCCTCGATCATATGTCTGCCTCTTAGAAAAGAGCGTAATTGCTACATGTGCGCATTATGGTGTGAAAGCTATGAGTACAGAAAATCCTGGAGTCTGGACGGATGAGGATCATAAGATTTGTGCGTTGGGAGTGCATTTGAGACGGAATATTACGAGTCATGGGATTGGATTTAATGTTGATACGGAACTGGGATGGTTTGAGAAGATTGTTGGGTGTGGCTTGGAGGGGAAGAAGGCTACGAGTTTGAGAGCACAGGGCGTGAGAGATGATGTGGATGTGGAGAGTGTTGCAGGTGTTTTGGTGAGGAAGATTTGGGAGGGATTGGAGGGTGTGGAGGCTAGTATCAGGATACCGGAGCAGAGTGTGAAGTGAGGTAGTCTGACATGCTCGTTTGTGCCTTCGAACGACAAGATATCGATGCACCAAGGCAGAGTCCCTCGAAGCTATTGGTGTTTGAGCACCAGGAGTGCAGAGCTACAACAGAGCGATCCTTGGACTCTCCTGTCCCCGCCGCGAACGAATCCTATTAGGGAGAACACTTGCACGCTAGCTCGAGGTTCAGGAGCGGCTGTATCCTAGCAGAAATCCTCCTCTACACTGTGAATTGTCGCAGGGGCAGCAGGCCTATTGGCAGAGTTGGCAACTCGAGCTCAGCAACTTTCAAAGACAGTCATGACGTGTGCCATGTGCATCTGCAGTAAGCCATGGCACATGCTCAACATCCTCACATGGCGAAGGCTGCACACGTTCTCGCATCGTGAGTCCTGCTTTCGTGTCGAACGAAGCTTGGTTGCCAAGTCTCATTCGAGAAACACAGCACCACTCACGTTCTTACAGCTGGTCATCATCAATCCAGTGGCGAGCGTAATTCGCGCAGCATCACTCAGCAAGACTCAATTCGCTCAAACCTTCCAGATTTCATAGCCGCGAACAATGGTTCCGCCAACTTCCTGATGGCCTTGTCTGTCGTCATCGGCAGGAGTTAGAAGCAGTGTCCCAACACCACAACAAGAAGCTCTTGTTTCGCTTGGTATTCGCACACACATACACCAGCCTGGCATGAGTGGAAGACGACAACATACACACTTCACAGATCGCAATTCGCATACCTGCTCCTACACACTAGCAGCCCATAATGGCTGGGACTTCGACGTATGCAAACGCTTTTCAGTGCAACTTAAATGTTGATACTGACCTACTTTTCCTAGCGATAGTAATGCCGCTGAGCAAAGCGGCGAAAAGAGCGGCCACAAGAAGCCCTCGAAGAGGAGTAGCTTGTTGAGCAAGTTGCCAAGACTCGCAACTCTCTTAGGCAAGAAGACCGATGAGACAGTCACGCCGTTGTCTCAGCCTGGCGCAACATGTCAGGATGGAGGCACAGCCATCGGCAAAGCTGTCGCGAAGAGCGGAGAAATGCTCGCCAAGGTGGTCAGTAATGACACTGGCTACCAAGCAGGTACAGAAGACTTAGCTTGTCACGAGCCTGGTGTCATCTACGCTTCTCCAGGGCCAATGTCGGCGGCAAGTGAGCCTTCGAGTGCGCCTTGGTCGAACATCAGCAGCGGAAACAATACTGCAATCACCACTCCTGGAAGTAGCATTGACCCGAAAGGCAAGCTCCCATCACGCCCCGGTGTCCTTCCCGATGCATCACCTCAAAATGGGAGCTTCAGTTCCAATAGTCGCCCATCTACTGTTCGATCTATGACTTGGAGTGCCCTTGGGGAAGTCAGGATTCCGAGCCAGGACTCGGGTGGTGACAAATTCGAATCATCGGAGACGAATCTGATCGATGGCGAAGCTCTGAACAAAGTTGTCACTTTTGATAAGAATACACGCTTTGCACCGAGCAATCACTGCTCTTCTGTTAAGTTCTCCGAGAGTCCAGGAACTCGCCAGTCAATTACTCTATGGAGTGAGGATCCCAATTGGAAGCTCTCGGAAAGGGCGCAAGCGCATCAGAAAGCAGTGCTTGCAGCTGATCCAGACACATTGCCTGTTGTTGCCAAGGTCAAGTCTGCGCCAGAAAAGGGCTCTTCGAAAATACTAGTCCCGAGGAAGGAGCGTGTGAGCTCTCCAGGAAAGAATTTCGAATCCAATGGGCAGAAGGAGCCCATGGGGATGACAGGCAACACGAATGCTGAAAATCCCATCGGCAAGCTGAAGAGCGCTGTGCCTTTGCCGCAGGAGCCAGTGCCCAAGCCTGAGTTGGCGCCGATTGGGGACCCAGGATATGATAACTGGACCGAGCTGGGCAAAGATCAGAAGGTTTGTCATGCGTAACAGCTCGAAGGTAAGCGATGTATTGACATAGTGATCTTGTAGGTCAAACAACGCCGAGAGCTCGTTTCCGGTATATCATCTTACAACTGGAGTGCCGCTCAACGCCATCGCACCCAGCCCATGGCAGAACGAATGCCAATCGGACCAGGTGGCGAGACGGCATTCAGTGACACCGAGGACATCAACGATAGACAAGAGGTCCCTTCCCAAAATTACGGCAACTCGGGCAAGCTGAACACCGTAGCCTTTACCAACACAATTCATACCGGTGGCGTCTCTCCAAGAACAACCCCAGCAATGTTACCAGCCGTCGCAGCTGTCGAAGAAGAAGAAAAAGAAGTCCCAGAATCCTCAAGTTCCTCCTCTAGCTCCGCCTCCTCCTCCCAAAACAACACCACAGAGACCCCTCAAAACCCCAAACCTTCAAAACCTTCTCTCGGCACAACACCCAACGACTCAGCCCGTCCCTCGCAACACCCACACCACATCTCCCACCCACCTTCAGGCTCTATCGATCTCGATCTCCTCGAATCCAAACTCGTCAAAGCCGGGAGTTACGAAGTCAAATTAACAAGTTCGTCGAGATCTTCTGATACTTTTGGGGGTAAAGTGGAAATGTATAGGAGTCATGAGAGTGGGGAGGGGGAGTGTCGGAATGGGTTTAGGAGTTGTGAGATGAAGAATAAAAGTTGGGCGGGTGGAGGAGAGTGAGTGATTTGAGGTTGAGATTTTTTTTGGGTGGGAAGGGAATATGTTTCTATGTAATGTGTAATGATGATTGATGATGATGTGTGTTGATCGTGATTGTATTAGAGTGGGTGGTGAAAAAGTCTGTCTGTTTCGTGATCTTCGTGATTCGTTCGTATGCGGGGCGTATTATTAATGTTGGTTGATTGGTTTTAGGAAGAAGTTGCCGCCCTCGAGATTGTAGCGACTCCATTCCCCGCCTTGTCTTTTCATTTTTATGTGATCTGTACATTGATCCGTCCATTTCTCTGCTTTCATGTCTCGGCATAATCTTTCGTCGACTTGTACAGTTATAGGGCAAGGTTCTCCGATGTGAGCGTCTTTTGGTGACGTGAATATGTGCTGGAAGAAAGCCCTGGCACGACTGGGCGACTTGGGACTGGCTTGGGTTGAGGGCAGAGCGGTCAGATTCTCGAAATATGAAGCTTGGTCGGGCGATTTTTGTGCGTTGCAGTACTTGGTGAAGTCGAAGAAGTCGTCGTCGTAACCTTTCCATGAGCTTGAGCTACCTGGCTGATTGGACTTCGCAATTGCAGGTTCAGCATCTACAGCAATGTCCAATGATCGGTCGTTTGCGTGCATCAAGTATCGAGCCATTGCATCGGGATGTGGATCACTTGCGAGTGAAGGTGGTCTCTTCCTTCTCACCAGAGTCCTTCGAATTGGAGGTGACTGCAGAGCAGGTATCGGGGTACCAGGAGCCTGATTAATGAGATCGTCGGAACCTCGATCATGTGTAGCGCCATTTTGTGTCGCTTTTGGAGCCAGCATTCGTCTGACCTCTGCCACTGCAGGGCTGTAATCTTCCGTTCTGCCAAGGAATCGCAATGGCAGGTCATGTTCTTTCATCGTGGTCTGGATCTCGATGTCTGATGCAATCGTTCGAGCTTTGTCGTCGACCCCAGAATCTTTTGAGGAGCTGAAGTACATCGTCGCAAGATCCTCTCCTGCAATGTCTGGACCAAGATCAAGATTTGAAGGCAAGAAAGGCGGCAGTGGCTTGTCATGAAGCGAGGCTTGAGGGACTGGGGACCGTTCTGAGCTTGGCTGTAGATTTTGAGCAGCCTTGTAATGCTCAGCAGCTGTTTTCAGGATATCTGCTACCATTTTCGTCTTGCTGTCGTAGCCCAGTCGCGATAATGGCGAAGCACGATCCAGACACTGGCCCCATTCGAGCCGGTCAGCATAAGCCAGAGCAATCTCGTCAGGTAGCGTTCGAATCAATGCCTTCCAGCCATGCTGGCTTATCCCATTCGCAGTGCAGCACCTTTGAAGCACCGCGTGGAGATTAATGGTGTTTTGGTGGTCATGTTCAGCGTAGCGACCTTCTTGAAGAAGCGTAATGACTCGAGCTTGATGATGATGCGTTCCAGAGTAGTGGTTGAGAGCACAGTCTAGACTTTCAAAGTGATGAAAGAATGTCTTGGCGTCGTAGTAGATCCTTCCGTCGTCAGAGCAGGTAAAAGCTCGCTTTTGAGACAACGCAATGCGTTCAATGGGTTCCGGGTGGCGATGCTTGCTTCGATGCAATCTTACTTGATGAGCATTTCTGCCTACATGAGTACACGAAGGGCATATACTGCCGTCGCCAAGTCTGGTGCATCGATCCTGGAAGTGCTTTTTCCGGTCTGCCTTCTTCTTGAACGTATTTGGGCAGTGAGAACAGGCATACTTGTTGTCGGCCTGTTTCTCAGCAAGTGTCCGAGTATTCAGCTGAACGAGTTGCTGTTGGCCTGCTCTATACTCTTGTATAAGGTCCATGTTGGTGAGATATGGTAGATCATAGCCAATCTGCCCCGATATCAGAGAACCCGTGGAGTAGGTTGTGCACGAAGACGCTCGAGACTGGAGACTGAAGACGGAGGACGTCGCAACACTAGACCGATTGATATCACTGTCGACAGTCGAAATCGAATCCCTAGCTGTGCAGATGCGTGTGAGTCCCATTCTCATCTTTGTCGTTTGCGAAGACTTACGCCACTGCATGGGTCCCTGTTCCATCGTACCCCAAAGACCATTAGCACCTTCACGGCTCGCGTGCAAGTTCTGTGAAGACTCTTAAAAGCAAGAAACAAAATCCAATCCTTTTGATCATGAATCGCAGGGCATGAACTCATGTCGAGGAGAGCGTACAGATGCCATCTTAAAAGCTTCTCACCTGACGAGAACACTACCACGACCTGAGGTTCTCAGACTCCTACCTCGTGTTTCAACATTAGAGAGGCCTCCAGGCCCGCAGATGGCGCGAGAGGAGGTGCATAGAAATGTGTGGTGTTTGGAGGCAACCTGAAACGCTAGTGGCCATTCACCGGTTCTGAGGTGTGGGGTGTCGTCACAGGCTGACAGCCTCGCTTATATGCGAGATTTCATCGAATCTCTACGTCAAGATTGTTGTTCTGACTGCTCGGTCGTTCATTCGTGCTCTCGATGCAGATCTATTGACGCCGTATCCTCGGATCTCAATGGGCATCGCGTAAAGTACAACGTGTATCATAATCCGGCTGGAACACGAAAGTATCGCAAGACGAGGCCGCAAAAGCCAAGACGTTCAAGAGATGCGAGTCGACACAAATCTGTCCGAGCAGCCGTTTGGGCTACCATAACAGAACAGGCTTGATCGTCTTGCCAGCATGCATATCGTGCAATGCTGTTTTGAAGTCGTCAGCCGGATAATACTTGACCATTTTATCAACCGGCAGCTTTCCAGCGCGATAATGCTTGATCATCTCCGGAATGAACTCTCCTGGAAAGCTGTCGCCTTCCACGCATCCCCACAGCCTGATGCCTCGGAAAAGGTGCTGGACCAGGTCGAGTGAGAAGCGGTAGTCTGGGCTTACAGGCCCGCCGACCTGCACATACGCTCCACGGGTGTCGACAGAATAGTAAGAGCTCTCCACTACCACGGGCACTCCTGTCGTCTCGATTACGACGTTTGGTCCTCGACCTCCAGCAACTTCTTTCATAGCAGCTGTCAGGTCCGTGATATCAGTTGTGTTCAGACCGTGTGTGGCCCCGAATAGCTCGATGGCCATATCGATGCGTTCCTGATTCTTGTCTACAGCCACGATACGTTTGCAACCAGCGATTCTAGCGCCCTGCATGAGCTGATCAGTATGGCTTGCTTTGATCGATATCACGCGACCTTACCATTACTGCGCTCAAGCCAACGCCACCAAGTCCTGTCACCATCACAGTATCGCTCGGTGAAGGCTTCACTAGGTTGAGAATCGCACCTACGCCTGTTTGAATTCCGCATCCGAGCGGCGCAAATAGCTGCAATTCCTCCTTGCTTTTGATCAAGTCCTTCGCAGGCAAAACGGTAGATTCCTTGACAAGGCTCAGCTTGGCAAAGCTGGAATGCCCGAAGAATTTGGCGCCAATACCAGAAGAGCCATCGCTTGATTTGAACACATCAGATTCGCCGTAAAGATTCATCGGGGCGAATGTATCGCAGTAAGCCGGTCGCTTCTCATGGCATTCCTTGCAATTACCACAGCTGTCGAAGGAAAGCAGCACCGGGTCTCCGGGCTTGATTGGCTTTGTAACGTTGGGTCCTACCGCTTTGACGTATCCGGAGCCTGGCATAAATCAGTGGCTGTCGCCTATCGCTCACGGGTTACAAACCTTCATGGCCAGGCACGATTGGGAATGTCTGTCCTTGACCTGGAGCTGTCAAAGATAGGTCCGTGTGGCAAATTCCCGTAGCTAGCATCTCGACCAAGATTTCGCCATCTTTGAGCTCAGTTGGCACTTGAATGTCTTGTAATGCCCAGTTGTCGCCTCCATGGTGTTCTGCTGCTGGTTCTGAAGCAACAATCGCCCGACTTGGAGTCATCGTAGCATACTGCCAATGAGCATTAACACGATGCTGAAATGGAGTTGCAAATCGCAAAACTGGTGCAGCGAGACTGGCTCTCCGCGCGCTCCTGCTCAAGGGAGTAGTGAGGCATACTTGCCCGTTGACTGCACGCGCAGCACGTGCCACTGATGCTCTCGGCATTGTAGTTTTTCCGCGAGGCTGTGGGTTGTTGAGGTCCGCTGTATCAATGTGCAAAGAACGTTCTTGTCATCGAAAACGGCCCTCTTGGGATCGTCAGGCTGTTGTGGATGGCGATTCAAATGTTGTTGGCAGAGTGCTGAGGATATGTCATCCTTTTTCAGCTTTTCCCGAGCACCTCATGGTCAAGCGGGAAATGCTCTCCTCTCTGACAACTTGCTAACGCTCGGCTATGTCGAATCTAACCGCTTTTGCCGTTCCCCATTCGGAGGTCGCGAGGGCCTTGGTGAGTCGGAGTCGGAGGGCAGCAGGGTGGTAGTTGACAGTGAGCGTGGAGAATGCGGCGGATGAATACCGGAAGTGGACATGAAAAAACATATTATGATGCGCGAAATGTCGTGCCAACCCGTAGAATCGCCGGTGTACGCACCTCGTATATATTGCTTCGTGTAACCTACGCCTGCTACTGAATTTTAGTAGGAAAGCTAGGCAGACAGAAGTATAAAATGCGATCTGGGTATCAACAACGTTTTCTATCTCTTCTAATATATGTTGTCGCTATTTCTAGTAGTATAGCTAGTCCTAGGTGTTGTTTGCTTAGCAAGCCGGTTGCTATAGCAAGACTGCCTACTTAGTAGATATAGGAACTCCTCCGCCTCTTTAATACTACTTCCTTGTCGAATAACGAGATTGCGCTATAGCCAAACCTCTCTAGGCGCTATATAGACAAGCTCTATAATACGTATAAGTTGTTTAGTATATTATATATTAAGGATTTAAATAAGTTAGGCCGGAAACGAGTCCTAAAGCCGCTATACGAAGAGGTATATATTCGGTCGCGATTTAGTCGGTTTCTAGTACTAATATATAGTTAGCGTATCCTCGAGTTCCTTACTAAGTGCCCTATCGCCTACTACGACGAGATTATCTAGTATCTCTACGATACCTTCGACGTTGTCGCGTCGCGCTATATTATCGCTCGTACGCTAGAGCGCTATAACTAGACGAGGAAAGTAGGTATACGGATCGCGAAGAAGCGTAACTAAGAGCTACGTAAGGACTTCGAGGTATAGCAAACTAGTAAGAACGTAGATAAGGTATATTATATAGACGAGAGTGCTAGTAACGAGCGTACTAGATAGCGGAAGACTAGATACTTACTAAAGGGGTTGCCTTATTAGTTTAACGCGTCTACGTAGAGGTCGACGCGGTAGAGTATATTACTAGCGATAACTTCGCGTAGTTATCTCGACGGTACCCTCGTTATTTAAGGATTAATTACTGCCGCTATCTTCGAAGACTAGCTCGAGTTTACTGTTCTACTATAGCTTAGTTTAGGTTAGTAGCTTGTAATAGATAACGTACCTATCTATAGGAGTTACCGAGTAAAGGACCTCTACACCGCCGCTAGTATCTAGTTAAAGTACTTGCCGCTATACTTACTAGATTATAACCTAATCGAGAACTCGTTTGCTAGCCTAAAGAGCTAGATTAAGTACTATATTTAAGACGTAGGCGCCTTCGAGGACTTTAGATACTTCGTTAAGTATACCGTAAAGGAGGCTAACGAGACAGCTATCTCGAGACACGTAGCAGCGTAGTTCTAGCGGTATAGATATCGCTATTAATAAGAAAGGAATTGTTATGTAATATAGCTAACTGTAGTTACTTATTTAACTATAGTCTTACTAAGACCGACGACTGTCTCTAACTTAGCAATACGGCCTTTTAACTCTTCTATCTCCTGTCTTATTTCTTCTATAACAATACGTGCTATATTAGCAGCAACGTCCTTTATAATAGCCTCGATATGCTATAGATTTAGAAATACCGGCTATAGTAATAAGCTTCTTAAATTAGCTAAATTAGCTAACGGTAATACAGTAGTAGCATCTCGTAGAAGGTCCTCTTCGCCTTAACTATCGGCAATCTTCTAAAAGTTAGTAAAATCTACTATTATACCTAATTGTCGTACCTCGAATATTCTACCGGTAACTATTGCGATAGAAGAGTCCTTATTTTAGTAGTTTAGAGGCCGTTTCCGTCGCTAGCATTACCTCGAGGCTATTTAAATTAGTGCTATTAGTATAAGGGTACGTTTTAGCTAGAATCCGGAGAGTACCCGCTTAGATAGCCGCGATCTATAACGACTAATAGGCTATTAACATACTACTACTATAATACATCTTTATTATCTCTTCGGTAGGAAACAATACTATCGATGCCGCCGAACAACCTCCTATTGTCCGTTTTAAAAAGTATGCAGTTGTTATAAAGATATAATACTAACGACATATTAGAAGATCGCGGCTTTCTATCGCTGTACTCCACTACTAACCCCACTACCGAAGGCCTCCGAGACCGCCGATATATCGCCTTTACTAATCGCGGGCTTAGTGCGCGAAGCTACGATTAACTATCGTCGACAGACACCTATAACAATACTACTACGCTAGGTAATTAATGCATTTCTTATTATAGTCTAATACTCTCGATACTAACGAAGAACCTCCCGCCTATACCGTACAAAAATACTAGATGCTCGCTAAGATACAGTATAATTAACAAAGTCCGAAATCCTACTTCCGTATTACCGCCCTACCGACCTACAACAACCTATACGCCGGCGTTCTAATATAGGTCTTCCTATAGCGATCGCTCGTCCTTGTTATACTTCTATAGGACACGTATTATCCGGCTGTATTAGCCTGCCTTTAAACCCTATTCCTTCTACTTAGACAGTGTTACTATTAATACTTAGTCTAGGCTATAATCTATTTCCTTTAAAACCCCGTAGATTGCCCTTATATTAGTCTTCCGCTCTCTCTAGCTGTTACGGTCTTGTCGCTTTAGCTAGTTAAAGAATATAACAAGTTAAATGTCCGGCGGCGTTATTATACGGTTAGTAGTGTTACTAACAAGGGGACTAGAAGGCGCTATAGTACTAGATCTAACAGGACTAGACGCACAGCCGTCGGCCCGTAGCTTCTTAGTTAGTCGCTTAGAATAGGGCGCTAAGTAATTATAGATAGTAATTACGCTACTACTAATAGCAGTGCCCTTTATAGTCCTTAGATTGCCGCTAGCGGCAACCTCTGCCCTTGCCTTCTGTCTCATTATTATAGCCGCTAGGCTCTTACCTAGATAGTTAATCGTTATAGGCGGCGCCGTTAGATCTAGTAGATTATAGCCTATTCGAATAGCCTTCGCCTATTATATAAGCACATTAGGACTAATCTTTACATAATTCTCCTATCTTTAGCTTCTATTTACCTAATAATAGCTATTGCGGTTAGGACAAGCCTTATCCTTACAGACCTACCAGTTACGTAATAGATATTAATAATCGCCGCTAGGTATAGGTATCGCTTCTTCCGCGTCGAAATCCACCTCTTATAAGCTACTACTAGCGCTAGTAGCCGCTCGTTAAGACGCACGAAGCTCGCGAATAGCCTATTGCGTTACGTTGCTACTACTATTGCTACGACCTTAAGAAGTAGGCGTTCTCGGGGGCAGCGGCTTCCTAGAGACAGGTACCCTTAGGTAGATAGTAAGGTTCTTCTTGCCTTATAGATACTACTTATAGAGCTAATATAACGCCCTTCGGATACAACCCCTTAATATCCTAGTCTTAAGGTATATTAGATAGCGATTAGCCTTCGTAATAGTCTTAAAGCGAGGCTCCTTATATTGCTCTTAAAGGCGCGACTACTCGTCGTCCTTCTATTATAACCATTCTTCCTTATAAGTGCCGCAGTCGTTATCGGAGGTTATCTTTAATAGCTTGCTAGCTAAGGTCTCGCGACTATAGATAATAGTCTATAGTAGGGTAATATTATATAGCTCTTCTTCTTCTTATTCTACGTCCTTATCTTCCTCGCTAGCCGCTATATAGTCGTCTTAGTCTATAGCCTCGTTACTAGCAACCTAAGTGCCTTTACCGTCGCTTCTAGCTATAGCTTTATCTAGTAGAGCGTCGTCGTTTTTATTAGTAGATAGCTCTATAGTATTCTAACGGCGGCGACGGCGAGGTTGTTTACTTATCTGTCTTAGCTTCTCGATGTTGTGCTTAGGCGGCTGTCTATTGCGGTCCGGAGGCTTTATTAAAGGCGGTAAAGGCACTAAAGAGATAGTAGATTAAATAGACTCGAGATTAGCCTCCTTCTTAGCTCTAATCGATACTACGAACACTACTAGGCTAGAAGGAGCATACTATTTACCTACGACCCACTATTTGCTAGCGAAACACTAACAAACCTCGGGTGTGCGGTATAGCGGCTGTTCTACGGGTTAGCACGACATTTCGCGCATTGTAATATTCCTTGCTGTTGCTGTCTGCTAAGGATTGCCTTGTTGCCTGCCAAGCTTTGGAGGCACCCACACAACACACTGTGCAGTGTGCACGCTTGCGGTCTAACTCATTAGATCGAGTGCTTGATAGATTTTTGGTTGACACCTTTAGTACTGGGTTATGAGGTGATGGAAGGCTCTTAATACTACTCATAGATTACTGTAGCAGAAAGCCAAGATTCACAGAGCTAGCAGGTCGCTCCAGATGGCACATTTTTGCAGCTCGAGCTCTTCTTTCCGCCAGAGATAGATACACCCTTCCAACTCCAATTTGAGCAAGAACCGCTTCCGCACAGAATGTGGATCTTGGTCGCGGAACTAAATTTTCCAAAAGTCAGACGAGCCTCGCAAAATTTCGATCGTGCCCACTCACCTAGAAACACTCCCAGTAACTCCATTCAACGTCAACCCAGTGATCGAGACACCATTAGTAGGAATACCCGTTGGGCCGCCATTCTTGTAGTCCTGTTCAATGACGATGCCGTGCTTCGTGATACCAGACAGCGTGATGCCCCTGTATGTGACTCCCCTAACGCTTCCAGTGGCGCCGGAGACAGTCTTGATTCGAACGCCGTTCTCTGAATTTACGACTTTGGAATTCGTCACAAGCACATTGCTGACCGAGTTGTCCGAGTGACCTCCGACTGATCCGATAGAAATTCCGTGTCCTCCCGAACAGTAGCCGTTGCTGAAAGTGATGTCGGACCCTGAGTTGACGGCCAGGCAGTCGTCCTGACTGTGAACAGTCGCGCGGTCGATGTTTATACCTCTGGAAGATCCGACATTAAACCCATCAGTGTTGTGGCCATGTCTAGAATCTCCGGCCGAGTTGTCGATGGTGATTGTATTGAGATTCAGATTGCTGGCTTGATCGATGCTGAAAACCTGAATTGGGGAGTCTTTGATCTTGATGTTCGAGATCGTAGATGAAGTCATTTTGTGTGCATAGAAGAACTTCGGCTTCGTCTTGCCGCCGTTCTTACCCTGACCGTCCCACCATCTGGCACCACCTCCGTCGAGCACTGAGCCTGGTGCCCCAGTAACGGTAATGCGGTTACCGGAGACTGAGACCAGAGGTCCATCCCACTCTTTGTAGCCGAAAGTGGTTGTACCTTCGAACATGACCTGGGAGCAACGTCAGTCAACTTTTTCTTTCGTCGTGGTCACATAGTCTTGTAACAAACATGTGTGCCATCTTGGAGCTTTGTCAGATCAAGTGTCATTCCAGCTGGTACGGCGAGGGAGGAGAGCACGATTGTTGAGCATGAAGACTTGGACTTGCTGACAAGCGAGGCGCCATCCGAGCCAGAGAAGGTGCAGCCTGTTGCGCTCTTGTCGAGAGAAGCCGCCTGAAGGACCTCATGTCGAACCACAGGGGTTGCGAGACATGATACAGCACCGAAGGCGAAGGCGAGCAGAACTGCCTGGAGAAGACTATGAGACATCATCGGGGCCAGGAATTGCAGACGTAACTGCGATATTGAACAGTGTCTGTTATGACTGCCATCGCCTTCGATGTTGCTGCCGTACATATACACACAGTACATAGTGACAACATCCTCACTACTGAATTACTCAAGCTTCGTAGAAACAAGGCGAGTGGCCTGCTGTCGTAACCATTCCGGATTTAGTAAAATTCTGTTGTCACGACTCGTGGCAGAGAGGTTACCACGTGATAACCGGGCCATAACTGTTTTAACCATACCCCGGGACCGCCCTCACACAGACGATTCAGTAGAACTCCTGGGCAGTGGGCAGTGCCCGGAAGTGGTTTTCAGGACACTATTGACTTCGAGCTTAATGCTTAATGCCACTGCTGCGCCCTCTCTCCTACGCACTCGACGCGTCTTGGGCCAGATTTTGGACTGTGCGTAAGGCAAATTGGACTGCGCCCGCTGCTTAAATGAGTCTGACTTTTGATACAGTTCCACCTTGATGATGAAAGTGGGCAAAGGGATAGACCTTGAGACCCTTGTAACAAGGGTATCGTTAGAGGCTGGAAGGCCTCACTTGGTCCAGCGAAGCGCATAGAACAGGCTTGAGTGCTGCGCCTCGCTATATGCCCTTACCGCTATCTGTCTCGTCGCTGTTTGCCTTGTGCATAGATACTTGGAGTGTATGCCCAGGTGTCAGGGTCCATCACGTGCCTGATGCCTGAGGCTGCAACTGCTGCACTTCATCTTCGGACTTCTAGATAGATTAGTCCTTCTTCTGAATATATCAGTTACATCAAGTAGTTATAAGCCCCCTGCGTTTCTAACGCATTCTATACGTTTTCTAATAGTTAATCCGATTGCTACGTAGATAACGCTTGTTACTAAAAATTGCGCTAATACTAATATCGTCGCTGCCCTCGCTACTCTCGAGACTCGAGTCGGCTACTATTAGTGTTAGCTGTCCGCTATACCGGTTTCTAACATTAGTATTAGCTGTCTGCTATACTAGTATAATATAGGCGCGCCTATCGGCGGCCTCGTTATATCCTTAAGATAAGTCTATAGTCTTATTTCTATATCGCCGTCGCTGTCCGTAATAGCTCCCCCTATAACTACTAACGCTTATATAAGCAACATCCCTAAGCTAAAGAATAAGGAGAATTATCTAGTATAGGCCTATACCGCTAAGGGTGCCCTTAAAGGCATATAGGTATAGCGCTATATCTAAGGGACCCGCCTAAAGCCTAAGATTAAGCTATTATCTACTAAAACATAGGAGCAATTTAAAGACCGCTAAGATAAATAGGAGGCAAAGGACTAGTTAGCGCGTACGTAGATATTCGCTAACTATATATCGGAGATCTAGCAGTCGTTACTTAGACTCGATATCTCTAAGGTAGTATAGGATTATCTATATAAGAAGTATACTAGTAAAGGTAGGTCTACTAAATTTATGCTCTACTAGGAATATATTACCCTTCGGTATAATAGCAAGGATATTAAGAAGTTCTATAATAAGTATAAGAAGAAGCTCGGTGCCTTAAAGGACACTAAATTAGCTATTAGCTAATATTAGGCTGTCTATATATTTATTATATAGATCGCACTATTCTACGAGGCATTCGTATAGATACGCCGTAAGCAGATGCGCGCCTTAGAATACACTATTAATAACAACACCCTTAACAATATTATTAGCGCGTTACTTAATAAGAATATAGCTTAATTAAACTAGGCCTAATATAATAGCTTCTTTAGTCTTTAGCGCCAACTATAATAGTAAGGTAGCAATAGCAACAATAATAGCGGTCGAGGTAACTCGAACCGTAGCGGTCGTAGTAGCCGCAGAAATAGCAATAATAGTCGTAGCTGCGGTAGAAGCAACTAGAATAGTTATTAGTCTAACCGTAAGAAGTGCGCCTATTATTAGAGGTTACACCCTTCTAACCGCTACTATACTAAGTACTCTTACCTAAAGGAGGAAGACCGACTGCGTCGTAAATAGTAGAAGGCTAAGAAGAAGGCAGTATAGCAATAGTAGCAGCGTAGACTAACTGCTTAGCAGTAGCCGCTATCTAGTTAGAATAGTACTTAGGGGCTATATATAGCTAATGCTACCTCGGGGGTGTTATTAGACCTAAGCAGCAACTATGCCTTTAATGCGATTACTATTAGTAACGCAGCTTCTATAGCACTTACTATAGCGACTCGTACTACTAATTAGGTTGTCGACTTAGATACTAGTATGTATATAGTTAATAACCCTTTATTGCTTATTAAATACGAAGGCTGTTATATTCCTATCCGGTTTAGTAGCAATACGAAGTATACTACGATAGTCGGAATGGCTTAGACTAAGGTAGTTAATAAACGTAGTATAAGCAGTATAAAGTTGTCTAATATACTATATATACTAGGTCTAGCAGCTAACCTCCTATCTACTAAGAAGCTTGCCGATAAGGGCTGTTTCTATCGGAACGACAAGCGCGTGCTATTTACTATTATTAACGGCTCGGAGGTTACTATTGCTTAGACATACCGAAAGAATAGTCTTCCCTATCTATATGTACTAACCTCCGGACCGGATAGCTAAGTTGTTACGCTTCTATCGAAGAAGGGGGTAACTTCGGGGGTGCTAACAGATACGATAGAAGAGTAGTATCTACGATATAGCTATATTTATTACCGCAAGCTGCTAAGAATAGAGTCTAAGGGCTAAATTGTTATTACTAGCGCTAAGAACGACTTCCGTAACTGCATTGCCTGTCGTATAGCTATATTACACAAGGAATACAATCGGCTGCTACGCGTACGACTATCTACGATCTATTACATTGTCTGTATAGATGTAGTTACTATTACTAATCCTAGTCTGTTACAGGAGCGCTATTTTATACTGTTTATATACGCTAAGTTAGGCTATCGACACGAATATGCTAGTACGCTTAAGTTAGGGGCTATAGTAGCTATTAAGGACTATCGTATATATATCCGTATATAGACTAGTTACTTAATCCCAATCTACCGCCTCGATAGAGGGGGTAAATACGGCGGAAATTAGCTATTAAATTAGGCTCGAGACGAGGGTATTATACTATAAGTTACTGCACCTTATTTATTAACTTAGAATAGCCTTACTAAGGTTAGCAATTACATCGTATATACGACTGCGAGAAAGATAATGCTACAGGCTAACCTTCTAAAGTCTCTATAGCTATATACTATTGCCTCCGCTATATAGGTTCTTAATATTACACCTAGAACCCTAGAAGGTCTTAGCCCCTATACTATTGTAGCTAGGGAGCTCAATTAGTCTCGAAAGCAGCTACGCCTTTAGCACCTTCGAGCCTATAGCTGTACTGCTATTATATACGATTACAGTGTCGCTCGTAGAAAGAAGATAGATAGTAGAGGTCTTGTTAGCAAGCTAGTTAGCTATACTAAGGGCTCTGTAGACTCTAGAAAGTACATAATCTACCTGCCTAATTAATATAAGGTTATCGCTTCTAAGGATGTTTAGTTTATTAAGTTAGATAGTAACCTTCTGCTTCTAAATAGCATAGATCTATATACTAATCCTAATAATCCTTCTAAGAACGAGTTTGTTACCCTTAAGTCTATTATACCGGCTTTGTTCAATTCTATAAGTAACGAGGCTCCGTCGCCTACCGAGGCTACTAGTATAGTCTAGCGGCTTCTAGCTTAGCAAGAAGAATAGCCTATATAAGGACCTATATAGGAAATAGCTAATAAGGTCGCTAATCCGTTGCTAATCGATAACGACCTTCTAGACGTTTAACTACTAGCTTCAAGTAATAAAGATAGCTTTTAGTTAGCCGAGGAAGAGCTAGTATATAAAGTATCGTTTAAGCCCTATAGTACTTGTTCTAATCGAGCGGAGCGACGGCGTAGAGATCGAGAACTAATTAGATTAGGGCTAAAAGCGCTTTAATATATTACATTCTATCTACTTAAATTGCTTATCGTCCTATGTCTGCGCTATAGCTAAGTCCTCCTCCTAATTGCGACGCAATCTAGTATTAAAGGCCTGTTAACGCATCTGTTCCTCCGCGATTGTAATCTAAATACGTATCTCTTCGTTAATCTCTTTATTATCTAATGTATTCTGCTGTCTATCTTGCTCCTACTGTATGCCTTACTCTTCCTAAGTACCTTGCTCTAGCTAGGTTACCGGGTCGCTATCGACAACATTACTACCTCGAAGAAGGTAGCTCGGGTAGGTTACCTACGATTGCTGCTAGGCTTAGCGATTAGCATTAACGTTGCGCTAGAAGGTCTTATTATTAAGGAACTCGCTAGCAACCTGCCGATCGCTAAGACGGTCTAGATTAGTACGCGGTACGAGCTTAACTCTATAGGGTTTATAAGTAAGCTTATTACGCAACTATATATTGCGGAGGGCATTAGTAAAAGTGCTGCCCTTAAGGCGGCGGCTATAGACCTCTATAAATCTATAAGATAGTGCTCCGAAGCGGATGTACTATCTAGGTACTATTAAAGTCGGCAGTATACGCTTAAGGAAAGCGATAGAGGCGACTAGAAGAGCGGCTTCCTCGGACGATAGTAGGTTATTACCTAGACTACGAGATTCTATCTTAGCAATCTTAACTAAGTCTGCCTTAAGGCGTGCTTCTTCCTCTTCCTCTTACTACCGCCGACGAAGCGCCTCTTCCTAGGTATGTTCTCGTACGCGTTACTGCTAAAGGCGGCGTTATTGCTAGCTTTATACGGTTTATAGATTACGCTCGCGCTTTGCTACCTCGGGGTCCGGATACGGTAGATTAGAGGAAAGGATCCCTCTAGGTAGCAGAGCTCGCTGCTTCTTACGACGGATATAATCCGTATAGCGGTTAATATGCGACTTATGCGGCTTGCCTTTAAAGCAGTTATAGTTAAAAGGCTCGTCGAAGAGGATATTAGTAAGATTACGGAACCGAGAGCATACGACATATGTTAAAGTAGGCGTAAAGTCCTTCCTAGAGATATCG